TTTCCCCGGGCCTTTTTTTTTTTTTTTTTTTTTTAAAGAATACAAGAACCCCCTGCTCCATTTCTGAGGGGAGGCTCATACTCCAGAGTAGAAGTAGATGCCTCACGTAGCAATGAATAAGGCTCCTAAGCCTCAGAGAAGGGAGGCAGCTCCCGGGCTCTGGGTCCCACCGTGGGGGCTGGGGGCCAGGAAGCTGCATGTTGCAATGCTCAGTGGTCACTTTTTGGATCTGGGTCTTGGCCCCTTCAGAGCTATGGAGGGTTTCCACTATGGAGGTGGCTCTGGGAAGAGCCAAGGAGGGACGGTCTGAGACAGACAGGTCGCCTGTCTGTCAGCAGTCAGTGAGTGCCTGGATACAGCGTGCCTAGAGATGGGCTTGAGCATCCATATACCTATGTTGTGTACAGGGATGCATGGTGACAGTGTTCCCATGGTGACATCTCTCCTAGCACCAAGCGTTTGCTCCCTAATGTTTCTAGCAGAGCTGGTTTTCTTAGTTCTTAAAAAAGAAATCTAGTCCAGTGCTGGCCTGGTCGCCTGCTTTTCTGACCCGAGTCTCCTGCTGGTTTTGTCAGGAGGAGGGCTGGAGAATAGGGGAAAGCCATGCAACCACCACAGCTGGGTTGCAAGCCCCACTCCCACTGATATCATTGGTAATCAGGTGGGAAGGACCCTAGATACCAAGCTAAGCACTGCTCCCACTGCTAACAAGTTTACCATTTGATTACTCATCCCAGAGACCAGATCAAATCTTACCGGGTTCCTAACATCGGGCACGGTAGTCCAGAGGGGGAACACAATGGGCAGGAGGAAGAGGTACACTGCTTGTTTTCTCCTGGTTTCTGGCCATTCAAGGGAGAGCGGCTCATCGTTTTCGTCATTGTCGTCGTCATCATCCTCATCCCCGCTGTCATCATCGCTGTCCTCCTCTGAGCTGCTCTCTTCTGAGCCCTCACCCTCTGAAGAGGGCTGCAAACCAAGGAAATGCAGCCGTTTTAACACCGAGCACAGGCTGTGTCAGCTGCTCAGGATGTGGGTGAGTGCACACACCAAGCCACACACATGGAGCCTGACATCTCTGCACGTGCCTGCAGATGTTGAGGTTTGGGTTACCCAATTTGTAAACTCTTGGCAGGGCAGCAAGTCCTATGGCCCCCCATTCTGTGGCTCATGGGGATAGATCCCAGCTCAGGGCAGATGCCTGGGAAGGTTACTCGGGGCCTTTGAGTATCTTAAGGAGTTGTACTGACTGGGACCTCTGGTCACATGGTGGTACCGCAATACACACCTCAGCTGGCTTAAAAAAAACAATCTCACTTGCACAGCTGTTGGCATTAAATCAGGCTGTCTTTTTGAAGGGACAATATCCCTTTCCTGGGTTAGAAGGTGTTATTAAAACAGAAAACTGAGCAGAGAGGAAGCCCGAGTCTCTGCCCTGACCAGTTTCCACAGGTTGGGACAGTTCACTTATATCCAATGGTAGCTTCCTCCTTACGCTGAAATCCAGGGGGGAGCCAGAAGGGGACATGCCAGACCACATGGCCACTCCAACCTGGGCTCCGTACCACTAAGCCTGGATTGGCGCAGAGGTGGTACTCTGGAACCAGGTCCTTAGCCTGGAGGGCCAGACTAGTCACATCCACTAGCTCTTTAAGCTGCCCTGACCTGTACCTCTACAGTAAATGCAGCTTCTTCCTAAGGGCTAATTGCAAGCAGCAGGCTGTGCCCTATTCCAGAGTGTGGGGTGAGGGTGGGGAGGGGTTCTGTCCAGACAGGGAACAAATAGATGCATGGTTCCAGCTCACGGTACCTGCTCGTCCTGAGGGGCATCTGCATCTGCCTTTGCATCTGGAGCTGCATTTGCATCTCCCTTTGCATCTGGATCCGCATCTGCTTTTGCATCAGGATCCACATTGGCATCAGCGTTCTGTTCATCCTGCTCTTTGCTGGGCTCCTCATCACTGGCAGGGGTCACTTTCACGGCACTGGGTACCTGGGCTTCCTCCCCTTGAAAAGAGGAGGAGGAGGATGGCTGCAGTGCTGCTGGCCTTGGGAGGAACCTTCCCCTCTGCCCATGGGGAGTCTAGGCATGGGAGAGGTTTGCCTTCCCTCATGCCTGAGCTGTGATGGCTCGAGCATGCTCTCTCTGGCTGCTCAGGGCTCCCATCTGTTATTTTTTCTCAGCTGCTTATCATAGAGGACAAGCTGGGAACAGACTCTCCCTTCCTGTTATGGAGCCTTGCCAGCAGAATAAGGGCAGGACCCTGTCTGCTACCCTTAGGCAAAAGGCAGCTGCAGTGAGTCTATGGAGGGGAACACTGCAGTGTGAGTTTTTTTCCAGCTTCTCCATCCTCACTGACACCCCATGTTGGCCCCATGGCCCCATGTTGCAGACTGGGTATCTACATCTAGCTCAAGCAGCCCACGGGTTGCTAGTGAAAGCAGAAAAAACAGCGACTATTTGGGGCAAAACCCCTTAGGACATTTTCCACTGTTTGTCACCCATCATCACATCCCTGCAGAGGACTCTGCCAGGCTGCAGCTGTGAACTTGCCCCCTTCCAAGGCCAGTCTTTTGTTTGCTTCAAAGATGCATCCCATCTGCAATGACGGTGATCAACAGGCTGGCACATTGGCACCAGCCGCTGAACTCCGTGGCACACTCTCCCCTCCTGATTGAAATATGCACCATCTCATCACAGCAATTTCCATTTCAAGGCTTATTTGACTAACCCACTTCTGGGCCTATGTGAGTTTGAACTGGATTGCCACGTGGTGATGCAGACTGGTAGCCAGACTGATTGATTGCTGCTGTGCTTTCATTGACAGCTGTGTGCAGTCAGTGCTAATGAAGAGGGACTTTGGGCATGGGCAGCCTTGGATGAGTGGGGCTGGCAGGGTGAGTGAATACGGCTTTTCCTTTAACTCACCTGACTTTGTGACTAGCTTGAGCTGAGAGTCAATCTTGGCCTTGGCCATGTTTCTCAAGATGTCAACCTTGTCTTTAAACTTGGCTGTGAATGAGAGAAGAAAAAGGACTGTCATCAGCCGTAAGCCCCCTCTTCGTGTCTACAGTCAGCTCCGATACCCAGGTTGTTTTCTTGGCTGGTGTCTTTTAAGCCTTGAGTGTTGCTAATTTACCAGGCTTGTTATATTCGACATCACTGCAGTAAATATCCCTGAGCTCTCACAGATGATTTCCCATGAAATCTAAAATAATCAGCTTTAAAAGGGACTCTCAATATAATGGGAAAAGAGCCTCTGTTCCAGCACAGCAACTACTTAATGCCCCAGAGGAATGAGCAGGGAAGGCAGGCATTTGGAGGCGAAACAATTTTGTTACCTGGGGACCACTGATTTTGCTGATCTTTGATTACATGAGAAACTAGGAGCAGCCCCTCCTTCCCTTCACGGGTTGAAGAGGCTTAGCTGCTCTGCCTGCAGTCTGGCAAATGGCTAGAGCAGGGGAAGAGATGCCTTTTTGATTCTGTTTATCACAGGAATGACAGTCTTCTCCAAGCCCTTGAGAGCAGGGCTTTCCTGCAGAGGTAGCTCAGGTGACTGATACCCAGACCCGAGGACCCAGGTTTAATCTAACCCAGGTAAGAGCACCACATTGCAAACCTCTCCCTGAGTCACCGTGCTGCTCTTGCAACCCCGTGTGTGACAAACGAGGGCACCGTCTGCCATCAGCTGAGCTGCTCTAGGAGTCTTTCCCAGTCTGTTGTGAAGGAACTTGTCTGTTCTTCTGGATATTGTGGAGGACTATTGGCACGCCAGTGGCCTGGCCTGTCTCCTTGCTGCAAAAAATGAGCCAGTTACACCCCTCCTTCAGCTTTTGGGAAGATCAGCAGCTGGGCTAGGTTGAAAACACCACAAACTCCAACCAGAGGGTCTGTGTGTGTGACAGACCGGGCTGGGACAACACCCAAGTGCCATGAAGGCCATGCTCTGAGGGGGCCCATTCACAGGAGTTTCATATGCTTTCAGCAAACAGCACTTTGCAGATGTGGGAGGCCAAATTAATCCTCTTCTCTGTGCTGTGGCCTGGTCTGGAAACGAATTTCCTCTAGGGCAGCATTTCGGCTGGTTGTGTAACAACCACGTGCGATTCTCGTGTGCCCCCAGGCAGGGCTCTGCAACTGGGTTTTGCTCCGTGGCACTGAGTTTACACCAGCAACCAATCCGGGGCTTGGAGCCTGCACCCTGAGTCCCCAAGGAGTTACCGGGGCTCTGCACAGACTCCTGTTTTCATGCAGGAGGGAGGAGCGCAGCCAGGCTGAGCCGTATTGTCCCCCAATGCTAGCAAGAGGGTCATTCATCTTGGGCACTGGAAGAAGGCAGCAGAATACTGCCACGGTGCCAGGAGGGGGCAATCGAACCATGCCTTTGTTGTTCTGGAGTGCCCATCCTCGCAATTTTCCCCCCAGTACCAATGGGGAAAGGGTCAGTCAGAGCCCGGGCCCCAATCCTGCCCGGTGCACTGTTGCCTTTGAAACCTGTGTAGCGGGAGGTTGAAGAGCTCCAGGACAGAGCTCTCTCTCCTTACTGATGCTACATCCAGCAGCTCAGGGTGAAAGTTAGTGGAGAACCAGGTCTTCTGCTGCAAGCTGCCCCTCAGCCCGCAGGACCCCTGGGCCTGCCTGCTGCTCTCTCTCCTCCCACAAAGACACAGCAGTTGGGGCTGGGCCAGCTGCATCAGCAGGGTCAGGCCAGGCATGCCCCAGCACTGATCGGGATTACATAAATACTGGCTCTTGGCTCCCTGCCCTGGCCTGAGCCCTACAAGCTGAGCAAACTGCGCTGGGAGCGGAGGTTGCGGGTATCTTTCCATCAAGATAAACAGCTTAGGTTCAGGTCACTGTCCAGTTTTCCTGAGATCTGCCTGCATGTGGGCTAAGAGCGGGGCGCTAATTCCCATGACACCTTCCAAGGAGCGGGGCTCGGATTGACCGAGCCCTGAAAGTCAGGCAGGCAGGACGGGTATTTGTAAAGTTAAGTCCCTGTCCATGCCAGGGGTCACTCCCTATGGCCCCTCCATAGAAGATGAATTCTCTCCTCCCACAGCTAAGCCTCCCACAGAGAATAACAACAAAAGTTCTTCTTTGAGCTCTGGAGGGAAGAGGGCAGGAACTTGTATTAGAAGCTGTTGAACAAGAAGCTGACTAACACTTATGTCACAGGATCATAGGAAAGTCTGGCTGGAGGAACCTCACAAGGTCATCCAGTCCAGCCCCCTGCTCAAGGCAGGATCATCCCTGACTAAGCCATCCCAGCCAAGTGTCTCTCCAACCTGCTCGTCCAGGGATGGAGCTGCTGCAACTTCCCCAGGCAGCCTGTTCCAGTGCTTGACCACCTTCATAGTCAGAAAGTTCCTCTTAATCACCAACCCAAATTTTCCCTGCTGCAGCTTGAGGCCATTGCTCCTTAGTCCTTTCCCCTACAGCTGAAGAAAAAAGCCCACTTCCATCTTCTCTGTAAGTGCTCTTCAGGTATTTGAAGCCTGTTATCAAGTCCCCCTTCACTCCTCTCTTCCCCAGACTGAATAACTCTGGTTTTCAGCCTTTCCTTGTAAGTTTTCCTTCCCAGGCCTCTAATCATCTCTATTACTCTCTGCCAGATTCTGTCCAGTCTGTCCACACCCTTTTTGAATTGTGAAGCCCAAAACTGGATACAGGACTCCAGGTGGGGCCTCACCAGTGCTAAACAAAGTGGAAAATCACTTCCTTTGATGTGTAAGGAACACTCCTATTAATACAACCCAGGATGCTGTTGACTTTTTGTTGTGCAAAAAGAGCACACCAGTGACTCATATTCAGCTAATGGTCCACTGTAACCCGCAGGTCCTTCTCTGCAATGCTGCAGTCTAGCCAGTCATTCCCCAGTCTGTATTTGTGCATGCAATTGTTACATCCCAAGTGAAGGACTCTGTATTTGTCTTTGTTGAATCTCATCTCACTGATTGTGAAGCATTTCTCCAGTCTATCCCAGTCATCTTGAATCCTAGCTCTGCCCTCCAGAATGTCTGCAACTTCACTTAACTTCATGTCATCGGCATGGGCGACTTGTGCCGCCTTAGTCGGGGGGGCAGATGCCCCCACAGTGACCGGTCAGCAACTGGGGAGGGGGGTGTCCCCTGCAGCCGATCTCACTGACTGGGGGGGTCCCCCTGCAGCCCATTGCAAGGCAGCCAATCACTACGGCTGCTTCCAGAAGTGGTTGCGACTGCTTCTGGGAGTGCTGCAGTGCTCTACTCCCTGGCTGGTACTTACAGGGGGAGCACCTGCACTCCCACCTGCCCCCACTGCCCATTGCCTAAGTGGTGAGCATGGCGATTCAGGGGGTGCACCAGCGCTCTCAGGGGGTGTACGTACACCCACGCCCTACGCGTCCCCACTGGTCATCTGCAAATTTGTTAAGTATACATTCAATCCCATTGCCCATATCTTTAGTGAAGATAGTAAACAATGACAGGGAAACCCCACTTGATATCTCCTCTCAACCAGACACTGAGCCATTGAGGACTACTAGTTGAGTAAGATGGCCCAACCAGTTATGTATCCACCTTACAGTACTTTCATTTCATCTGCCTTTCCCTTGCTTGTTAATGACAATGTTGTGGGAGACGGTGTGAAAACCTTGCTGAAGTCCACACTCTCTCCACTGCTCTCTCCCCATCCACAGAGCCTATCACCCTATCATAGAAGGAAATCAGGTTGGGCAGGCATGACTTGCTCTTTGTGAAGCCATGCTGCCTGTTCCTGATCACTTTGTTCTCCTCTAGGTGTTTCACAGTATTCCTTGAATATCTGCAATATCTTTCCAGGTATTGGGACCAGACTGACTGGCCTGTAATTTCCTGGATCCTCCTTCTTCCCTTTCTTAAACATGGGTACTATATTTGCCTTTTTCCAGTCATTTGGGACCTCACCCAACCTCCACAAGTTTTCAAAGAGAATAGCTAATGGCTCTGAAATGACCTCACCCAATTGCTTCAGTACCCTAGGGTTTATCCCATCTGGTCCTGCTGGCTTGAAAGCATCTAGCTTCTCTGAGTAATCCCTAACCTTGTCTGCCATTACTTTAAGCTGTTTGACTCTTTGTCTATCTCTGCTGCCAATTGCACTCATCATTTGGTAGCTACTCCTGTTTGTGAAGACTGAAATGAAAAGGCATTAAATACTCCAGCCTTCTCTGCGTTATCTGTAACTAGACTGCCTTCCACAGTCTGTAAGGGACCCATGGTTTCTTCGGTCTTCCCCTTGCTCTTGACATGTTGGTATATCCCTTTCGACTGCCGTTGGTGTTGGTATAACAATGCCAGCCCATTTGCTTCAGAAGCCCCCTCAGCGCCCCCCCAGTTTAAGTATGAGCTATTCCTTTTTTGACATGGGCTTCACAGGCAGTGCTGGAAAGGTAACAGGGGATACTGAACTCAGATCAAAACACTTCCCTAAGCACAGCAGTGAGGTGAGGAAGGGGCAGCCCTGGGGATGTGTAATTTCCCATTTAATCTATCTACATTTTTTTGATCATGCCTTTTGCCACAGGGTTAAGTGCTGATGATACAGGACTGGATAAGAGGAAACTGGGAACAGCGCATTGCTGCCCACAGAAACTCCAACTCCAAATGTGCTGGCTGCTGTATCTTATAGAGGAGAATGACATTCTGGCAAGCTGCAGTGGAGCATCATTAAGATAAAGGCTGGACTGGCAGTGATGGTGCTGAGCTAGGACCTGGTCTCTGCCAGAGGCTTCTTGGGTGAGTCACCGAACCTCTCTGGGTCTGTCTACACTCTACGCAATACATTTCCCAAGGTCAGCACCTGGGCCTTCAAACTCGGCTCCTGCTCCATATCGGCTGGCTCTGAAAGTAAATATGGCATGGTTGTGTCTGCCTAGTGCTGCCAGTGGGCTAATTGGTTTGGGGGTGGGTTGGTTGGACTGTTGCAGCAATGCTAAATGGCCTGCTCAAGGCATCACGTGGACACAGCTATCCAGCTTCTAGTTGAGGAGACAGCCTGCCTGGAGCAGTGCTTCCAGGCACAGTAGGGTCAGCATGGGGTGTCCCATCAAAACCAGTTATGCTTCCCTTCTCCCAGACCCTCCCTCTTCAGGCTACAAACTTTTAATGGCAAGGACTTTCTCCAGCTACATGTCTGTACATCACCTGACACTCTGAGGCCCTCATTTCAAGTGTGACCATCCTCTACATGCTGCTACTATTATTACTAGTCTTTATTTATTCCAACAGCTTTCCAAAGACAGCTCCCTTTTTGACATATTTTAATGTGCCAGAGGTGGCCACTTGTGTGTGTCTGGGTAGGCACAGAGGGCAAGCAGATATTAGCAGCACCTTTTCCGCAGAGCATTTGTGCAATAATATCTTGTTTCACAATGCATGTCTTCACACAATATGTCACTGCTGCCATCTCCTGGGTTCAGTAGATATGCTGGAGTGCGTGTGATCACATTGCCATCTGGTGGCTATAGCTCACACAGGGTACACCCTTCCACCCCTCCACATGCCTGGTTGCTCTTCCACTGCAAAGACGGCTGATATTCTTTGCTAAACCCCTGCCAAAAAAAGAGCCTCTTGCCCCACTGTACTTACCAATGTTGCCTCTACCTGCCCAGTTTGTGTTAGGAGTTTGGGTTGGACAGTCCTTTTCATAACCTTAATGATATACACAAGAGGAGTTTATCTGCTTAGCTTCAATCTCTTTTTGAATGGCATAACAGATAATCCTTTTAGAACAAGTAGGGCAGTGGGATTGCATGCTGGGAGCTAAAAAGGAAAGCTGTCAATTAAAAAAATGTATGAGCTTTGTGGTTTCTTGGAAACTCAACCTTGGATCTATGTGTAGATGCATGGCTGGTAGAAAGCGGCAAGTTCAAGGTTCCTAGGCATGGGCACTGCGCTGTATTCTGGAGCCTGGCATCTCTACATCCAATCCATTTTGGGAGAGGTAGGCTCAGAAACACCACTATGTCACTTTTGCTATTCCTTGATTTCAGGGTTGTGAGGCACTGAGTGAGCACAGTCTGGAGCAGCATCTAGACCCCAAGAAACTGGCATGTTGTCTGTTAAGTGCTGCGGACACTATGAGTAATAATGGTCATGCAGTACTAAAAAGAGAATAGCAATGCAGGGCAAGGGCTCAGAAGTGCTCAGCATTGGCCAAACTCTGCTCCTATTGACACGAGTGGTAAAATTCCTGCCAAGTTCAGTGGCAACAAAATTAAGTGAACACTGGACTCTTTTTCAAATCCCACCCAGCACATAGAAGAGTGAGAACAGCTTGCTCAGCTCCAGCTCCTGACTTTGATTCACCCAAGGTTTTAATTTCATTATCCTGACAGGGACCTGTGTCTGGATTTCAACAACTGCTGGAAGGATATTTTCTGGAAAGTTTTAGATTGGCTCTGGAGGGTTATCTTGTTCATTTCTTAGCCTGACACCGGTGTGTGAAGCTATAAAGATGTATATAGCTAAAGAAGATCTCTGGGTCTTCCTGTGTTAATATCTCTAATGTACTATTAAAAGTCAAGCATTTCAACAGGCGTAAACAAAATACAAATGCTTAACAATGCATGTTAAAAGCCAGCCTCTGCTATGCTTGTTATTTGTGTGTATCAAAGCAATGAGATCTTCGAATCTAAAGAATGTGTCATTGAATCCCTAACACATAGAGCCTAACACAAATCTGAAACACCGTTGTCAGAAATGATCCCTTGTTATACCTGCAAGAGAGCTGGAATTAGATATCAGAAGCAAATCCTTTAACTAATATATTTTCATTATGCCTACCACTGCTGGGTATCCATTCCACCTCCATGGCATAAGGAGAGGTTGCTGACATGCTCCCATAAAAAAGACCAGAGATTGCTATCTGGTTACAAGTACATTGATTTCAATATGTTTGCAATGGTAAGACAGTTTTGCATTAGCAAAGCAATAAGCATTTACCTTATAGTTGCCTTGCTATGACACTCAACCATCTCTAAATCACTTATTTATGACTTGGCAAAAAGAAAATATCTGCTTCCAGGTTCACAGAGCCACTAGCCACCAACTCAGAAAAGGAGAGCAGTTTTACAATCTTGTTAATGCCCCATCATCTTTCATCTGCTGAGGAACCTGTCTGATGCAAGAGCAAAAGCAGATCTTTTCCTGCCTTGTATTAGGTGTTTGTAACAAGCTTGGAGTTTCTTGTTATTGGGATAACAGCTCCCACAGTGCATCAGAAATGGCATGCCAGTGCACAAGGCTCCCCAACAGAGGAAGGAGTGAAGTTTCACAAGGAACTTCTTTTCTGCAATAAGCATATCTACCATGATTGGCCAAGTCCTCAGGTGGTGGAAACTGATATGGCTGACCTTGACAAAACCATGTTGCTTTACACCAACCCTGACTTGTATGGCTTTGTATACATCACAGTGATTTGTACCTGCAATAGGGGTAGGGCACGGGATCGTATAGTTGAGCGGCATCTGCTCACCTTCTGCCAGGGGGTCCAGGGTGTGGATCATGAGCTGGAAGATGGTGCTACGCATTTGACTGTTGTGGAGAGAGGCTGAGCTGCCTCCTCGCTGCAAGGATGGCATGAGCTGCGGAACAGGGCACATGGACAGTACAGCCATTAGTACCAGGGCCCTTCACTGGTTTCCCAGTTGTGTGATTCACTATGATCACGATTCATGGTTTCAGGGCTGGTGCCAGGGACCAACATTGGTTCCACTGGTACCAATGCAAAGAGCAGACCTGGGATGGTCAGGCTGTAGTCCAGGCCTTCAATCAAGTTCTTAGTGTGCCTGAGAGCACAGTGAGCTGGGTTGTGTTCCCATTTGCTCAGGTCATGAGTGCAGGACTGGGGCTAAGGATCTTGAAATACAGAAGAGGACACCTCCGATAGGAGCATGGGCCCACTCCACTCTTGCCCAAGACACCCCACACTAAATAGAGCCACAGAACACTGCTGCCCACCTACCTGCAGCCTCTTGCTCTCTCCTGGTGGTTTTGCTCCATCTTCGAGGATGGACCCCGTACTTTTCTGCATGCAAACAAGAGCAACAAGTCACATGGGGGTGCACATGGGCTGCCTCTACTCACCCCAGATCTGGCACCGTCCACGCACGAGTCTGAGACAGAGAAGCGCTGTATGCAAGTATCTGTGAGGGCAGCTCGCTGACCTGGGGCCACACACTTCCTTCAGAGGGGAGGAGCTTATGACCATAAAGGGGAGGGGGTGAGGTTTGCAAACCCTGATAGAGAGCAAAGCAGGGAGTGGTCAATGGGATGCAGGGCCAGAGCCATAGCGTCCCCATTTTGCAATACTTCCTGAGGCACCAAGCAACCACTAGCTCAGTCCCCAAAGTGTACCTTCCCCATCCTCTCAAAGTTGCAGAGGGGGGCTAATCCCACACTGAGTGGCATTGCCCTCTACCCATGTAATGTGGAATCAGTTTCTCCAGCCTGGCTGGCTCCAGCAACCTTATGATCTCCTGCAGCTAGTTCTCCTGTCGCTGGAAGTGGAGGGGCTTGTTCCCAGGGGGTTGAAGGCCCCAGATGTGATTCCTGCTGTTCACTGTAGTGTCTGAGTCTACGTGTGCATGTTGCAGTAATATGTTATGCATGGGTTTCCTGTTGGAAATCTGCCACGTTCAGCGGGAACCATACAAAGTGGACTTCGGTTCCACACCCTTTCAGCTCTGAACCAGAAATCCAGATGGGGACAGGGCTTCCCTCTTCTGCACTTTCAACAATTCCTGCTCCACTGCCTCAGTTTACATGTGGGGACCCCCAAAGTCACAGAAATTGGAGGGACCTGCTGGAAAAATCTCCAAAAATCTGGCCTCTGATGATTATGCCACTGAGTTTACTCAAGGAACCCTACGTCCTGCATCTACTTCCTGCTCCTCCCTTCCTACACGAGCTGTCAATCTCCAATCCTTTGATATTGTGTACAGAGGGAAGGTAATGACACCCTCATCAGTGAGCCCAAGGCCTCCACTTCCCAAACTGGAGGTAGTGGATGCAGCCCCGGATGCTCATGCTTATTCACTGTGAATATAAAACCCTGTATTCCCACCCACCAATCCACTAGCTGCATGGATGAGATCTGGTCCACAGACACGATCTGAACCAATGCAGCAAAGTGAGATTCTCTGCTGTACCAAATGCTGATTCCCTGAATTTCCAGAGCCAAATGGGGTTAATTCATCAATACCAGCTGAATAATCAAATCCCATGCAGCTGTCTGAAAAAAGATACATGCCCTTAGTGTGTGGCCCTGATCAAAGTTTCCCTTGATTTCCTTATTTTCTGTTGCTACCCAATATTTACATGATGCCTCCTCATTTTTAAATAATTATCAAGCAAGTCAATTGCCTTGACCCACTGTTGTAGTTTGAAGGCCTTGGTTGGGTTGTTTTAATGTGTCCTCTTCCAAAGGGGCTCTGTGTTTCCTTGTGGTTTGAGTCCGACATTCCCAACTAGATATCAAAATAACGAAGGCACCAACCTTCTTTTTTACTTCTAAAGCTGCTGCCTGGACGAAATTTCTCCTCTTGCTCAACAGATCCTTCACCCATTGTTCAAAGTATACATTCCACTTCATGGTGATCACATACATGCTGTAGGCACTCAGTAACATGAGGCTTTCCCACCAGTCAATTAAACTGTCTAGGAAAAATGCGATGAGCATCAATAGATCTAAAATGTAGAATGAGATGTCTCTAAACAGCGGCCACCAGGTCAGATGGAGTATCTCCCTGGAGAACAGGGCACAGGTACCAATGACAAAAAGGATATTAAACACGGCTGAGCCCACAATGGTGCCGATGCCCACATTGCTGTGTGAGATGAAGACACCTATGAGAGATGTGAAGAGTTCTGGTGCTGATCCACCTGCTGCCATGAAGGTGGCTCCCGCCACATCATCAGAGATCTGCAACTTTTCTGTGATCACGCCCAAAGCAGGGACAAAAAATTCATCGCACACTATGGCCAAAGCCACAAACACATACATCATACCAAAGATGTGAAGGCTAACCCACCCTTTCCTGCGGTCCTCCACACTGAACAGGTCTTCGGGGTACTCTCCTTTTGGGGCATGTGTGGGAGAGTGCCTCTCTTCATCTGGGTGGCTGGATGTGACATCTCCTGGCAGGGGGCTTGGACTCACTGCCACAGAGATGGGCACAGTTGGCTCAGGATCCACATACACACATTGCCTTATCTTGGGCGTTGTGGTGTCATTGTGTGCTGCAGCAGTCGTGTTGCTGGAAAGGTCTCTGATGGCTACTTTCACTTGCTCCTCAGGTTGAGATCCTCCCCAGGAGGCTGAAAGGATTTGGGGTTTATAAATAAACTGATAGATGGAGAAAGTCAATATCATGGCCAGCAGGAAAAAGACACGGTTCCATCGAAGCTTTTTCCTTGGTGGTAAATGCATTTTCTAAATGTTCACAAATCTGATCTAAGCTCCTGAAGCCAATGGAGGTTTCTCCTGGTCAACACGTTGTGTTTACATCCACCGTTGGGGGGTTTTCGATGCTCCTAAGTGCCAGGATATCATTAGGACCAGCATGACACGCCATAAAGGGCAGAATCCTGAAAAAGAAGGCATTTTAGTATGAAAGGCGTAATGCAAGGATCTACAGCCTCCTTCCACCATAGAGGTAAAGCCTGCTGCTTTGCAACTTAATGCATCATTGATTGCCATTATATTCTGATTATATGAGATGTGTTCAGGTTGGCAAGGTCATATCTGCACACAGATTTCAAGTTTGTGAGTTTGCACTGTTTGGGACTGTACAGATCTGTTCTTTCAGTTGGCCTTGTTATGAAGATGAGCAAGGCCCTGACCATCAGTTCAGGAGTCGGAGTCAGTTATTCCATGCCTCACAGCTCAGGGTTCGTTCAAGCTGGGTTTTGATTTGGGCCCATCTTTTATTTTGTAACACTGACAGAGTGTTCAGCAGCCTACAAACATATAAAAGGATATGGTCCCTGCCCTGAATACTGACTTTTAAATAAGCTGAATGCCTATATAAAATTAAGTACTAGTGACAGCCCCATCATTTTAAAACCAGCCTCTAAACAGGCCAGTTACGTATCAAAATGAGCTTGGTAAATGGCTCTAATATGTCCCTATTAATTTCACTCTGCAACTCTCCAATATTTGGACTCATACAAGATACAGACCAAGCAAAAGGTGACTTTTTTTCAATTTGAGAAGGGCATGAGGAAAGATTTGGTATAGTAATGTCAAGGGTCCTGGGCAATTTTTGTTTCTTTAGCTACATCTCTTTAAACCTATTGTACAAATAAGGACTGGCAAAGCAGAATAGTTGTAATATGGTTTATTAGATGATTAGCATATCTTGCATAATTATTTGAAAAGTACTTAAGGAGCATGTCCAATTATAAATGCCAAAGCAACAGAGATTTGTTATATGACAATGATTCAGGGCTGAGAAGCATTCACCATTTGCATGCTATAGTTTAGAGTATGCCCTTTCTAATGCATTTTTCCCAGAACAGGATTATTTTATTAAATTAGAAGAGAATATAAATCACAGTTCTGCAAGCCACTCCATAATGAGCTGTTCAATAACATTTGCACGCGTACTTTCATCTATGCAGTCCCCTTAAAATAGTCGCTCTAGACTTCCTACAGGCCAGAAAAGGAAGAAATGGGCTCTGTAGTCTCCTTTTGGAATAGGAGGAGTTTCCTTTTGAACTCTGTAGTCTCCTTTGAAATGATGGAGTTACAAATCAGATAAAATCTGCTCCTTTTGTCTGCAAAGTACATGTGCCCATATAGTATGTACAGTATAAATGGTAACAATAAGCATGTTACAGCATAGTCAGCTGTATTCCAACATAAAGCATTTAACAGTAATGAACTAAAGTAAATAAATCCCCCCTTACTACAAGAGAGACAAATAGGGGGGAAAATGTGCATAAATTTATCCCTCACTATTTAATCATAACAATTCATATTTTCTCTCCAAAATGAGCTCCTTAAAACTAAAAGGCTAAGTTCTCAGCTGGTGTAAAATGTCATAGCTCCCTTGACCTTGATGACTTCTGAAAATCTACCTTGTTCTTTTTCCAACCTAGTTAGTTTATCATTATTTATATTCAACATGCATTTTTCTCTCCTGTTGTTCAATTCCTTTCCCCTGCATTTGGCTGTCTTGTCTAAGACATACCTCTCAGGCAATCATATGGCTTCCCCCTCCCCCAAGCTTACCTTCAAAAGGTGATGTTCAAGACAAACTGGGGTACCGCTGGTCGTGTTTAGCAATAGACGTTTCTTTGACTCTTAGCACCCAGAATAAAGATGCAGTTATGGGTAGAGGCAGCAGAAAATGACCCCATCTTCATTGGATCTCTCCCAGGTAAATTCTAATAAGAGACAGGGTCAGGTGTGAAGGACATATTGCTAGAGGAATAGCCAATCCAGTTTAATACCGGCAGCCCCTAAGCAGATTAAATAGTATTTTATAGGTTCTGGACTATCTCTGAAGCAAATATCTTTGTGTGTTACTCTGGGATGTTCTTAGTGTCAGAGCAGGAGATAATCTCTGTTACGAACCGCAAGATAAGAGCAACAGCTCTGAGATAGTGAGACGCTATATATTTTTTAAATGATAGATTTTTGGGGGAGGCAGATCCCTAGCTGAGATAACTTGTCATAGCCCCAGTAAGTCAATGGGTCTTGGATATGTTTCACCAGCTGAGGATCAGCCTACTTGGGACACTCAGCATTAACAGACTCCCTCAGATACAGCTACTTTTAATTAAGCATTCCAAGTTACTAGCAATTGTTTCCCAAATGTGAACGTCTGGTAGGAAAACACCAGCAGAAACTGAAGCTGACTTACATAGCCAGGTCCTCAGCCTCACTAAGTCTGGTGTTGCTGGCTTTGCTGTGCCCTAAGCCTGCTTTGCACCTTAAATGTCTAGGTGAAGAGTCCATCTGCTGTGCTAGCTCCTGCACCACTACCCTGCTAGCTCTAGGGTCAGACTGAAGGAGGCATGGCTGGAGTTCCTTATGCTCTCTGGCTGTCAGAACAGCCTGTAAAGACTGTGAGAGCTGGTACTGTATGCCTGATCTGAGGGTGGTACTAGCCCAGAGCAATCAGATCTTTGTCAGTGCTCAATGCATGCAAGGCCATTGGCAGTTTTACCAAATGGAAATAAGACAGAGGTGGTTCGCAGGTATTAAACAAAGGCATTGTCTTGTGATGAACCTCTTGCCTGCATCCCCTTATCTACATTGACAGCGTCCAATGAGGTTCTGCACAGACAGATCAGCTTGCACAGCCAGAGCCTGGACCCAGCCTCTGCTTGGACAGCACCTGGCACTGTTTTGGCTACTTCAGGGCTTGTCTACACAGGGAAGCTATTGCTCCACAAGAGCTGTCATTTGGCTCCCTGTTGTGGATGCTCCTAGTGTCAAGGCTTCTAAGGATTTCAGACTCCAAAAAAGCTACCTCTGGGATGCAGAGTTCATCTTGACCGGCAGCTTCCTCCTTTGCAAAAAGTGGTGAAAATATTCTATAGAATTAACCAGTGTCAGGAGATGCCTTTTGGGTGCTGCCCTAATTTCTCTCTGGAGAACTAAGGGCATGTTTCATGGTAAAAAAGTATTTTCTTGACTCCTTTTAAAACAGGAGTGAAGATAAAACAATACAGATAGCTAATGCCAGATCACCTGGGTTGAACTCCAGCTGCTAACGTGAGTTAAATCCACATCACCTTGTCCTCACTGCAACTCTAATCCAAATCAGCTAACACGCATGCAGTTGTTATAATGGCTTCTGCCCCTGGAGGCAGCACCACTGCCACTCAAACCGATCATAAATTCTTCACTTTTCACCTGGTCAGATATTTAAAGGGATCTTCCACAGACTGATTCGGAAAACATCTTTCCTAGCATTTATTCCACCCTTATTACTACTGTATTAGCCCTGCTGAAATCCAGGTAGTTACTAGTCCACCCACTGTCTTGGCTATCCAGACCTCTTGCTTGAATTCCAGAGGCCCAATTTCATACAATTTTTTCCCAGTTTTGGTCTGGGTACATGTTACCTACCCACAGTCTCAGTTTAAAACTGATGAGTTTGGTTTCATTGCAGATCTCCTATCACCTGACTTTTTGGTACATCTGGTCCGATAGGTGTTGTGTGGAGTTACCAGCCCCTCTTCCCATGCATTTATGGAAGCTATCACCTATCCAACAGCCAGACTTCAAAAACAGCATGGCCTATCCTTGCATCTCCAAACTTTTCCCCTTTTCAGTGCCTTGGAGCCCCTCTCCACTATTTCCTCATCTGGAAGAAGGATTTTCACTAGATAATTTGTGATTCTTTTTTTCCCAGGTTTGTACTTCATAGATTTCATAGACATTAGGGCTGGAAGGGACCTCGGAAGATCATTGAGTCCAGGCCCCTGCCCAAGGGGCAGGAAGTCAGCTGGGGTCATAGGATCCCAGCAAGATAAGCATCCAAATTTCTCTTGAAGGCGTTCAATGTAGGTTCATGAACCACCTCTGGTGGCAGGCTGTTCCAGACCTTTGGGGCTCCGACAGTGAAGAAATTCTTCCTTACATCCAGCCTGAAACGGTCTTGCTGAAGTTTATAACAATTCGACCTTGTCATCCTTGGGGCGCTCTGGTGAACAATCGTCCCCCAGATCCTGGTGAACACCCCTGATAAACTTACAGGTGGCCACCAGAT